TGAACAACAGTCATGGGTCAAGAAGGTGAACAACATTGAACTAATACATTTATCCACAGCTATTTATAGAAATGGTAAAAGCTGCTGAGTGCAGGTTGAGAAGTAAGATACTACTTTTCTAATCTTGCAAATCCAATTTAATATGACCCCAAATAGATTGAGGCTATTTTCATAACCATCAACTCTATTCTAATATCAGGATATAAGAAACAGATCTACAAGTCTATTGCTGCTTGCATAGAAATGACAATCAATGTTTAGCTTTTCTAGCCAATAACTAAGAACAGAGAACTGTGAACTCATCAATACTTGTCTGCTAGTCAGTAACCCTGAGGATGGGATTGAGCCTTATCTCAATCCCATCACCAGGTCATTTTTTCCCCTCTTCATATACATAAAATGATAAATTGCTAATATTTCATCTGTATCTGTGCTTGTTATAGTGACAAATTTCCATTGTTTTCAAAATATTGCTGTACATTTGAGTTTTTTTTTAATTAAATCATTTCAGTCTAATGCTATGGCAGAAACTTAAGAGGCACATGGAAATTTAATGAGGTATCACCAAGGTGAAAAATGTGATGGTACACACAGCCCTATTTTCATAAAACTGACTGGGAAGTATAAAAGTAATTATAATAAAATATATACACAGAAATGGAGGTTTTGCAAAGCTAGCGATTAAACCACTTTGCCAGCAAATCAACAATTTATACTAGAAACAGAACAACAGCCAAAAAAAATCACTTGTAAACAAAATCTTTGGTGCAGTATATTTTGATTTTATTTATTTATATCTCCTATTTCTAAACCAGCTTTTTCTGCAGGTAGAAGTCCATTTATTAAAAAAGAAACAAAGCAAAACAGTTCTGAACTCCTTTCAGCTTGATTTTAACAACATACATCCAACACTGGAAGCAATAATATGCTTTGTTCAATATTGGCTTAGTGTTTGGGGTCAATTCAGACATCATCATTTCTAATCAATAGTTTGCTTAATATATTGTCTGATGGTAATGTTTTATTCCGTGACCTGGATGATTGAGAATCTCCACAGACATTTTATTCCAACCTAACTCCAGGCAACTATATTTAATTGATAGTTGGTTATTAGAAAACCACGAGTTAATGCAATTGATGAATCCAGAATGAAAGCCATGCTTTATCTCTACATTCTAATCCTTGAAGATGAAAGAAAAAAATGATGTCCACCAGTTGCTAGGTGTTACAAAAAGTGTGTGTTTTCTCTATGTGCATGTTACAAACAATTTCCACTGAGAAACTAATCAGATTACAGGAGGAAAAATAGGCAAATTCTGAGACTTTGGGGAAAATAGCTCTGCTTGAGCAGTGCTACCAATAATTACAGAGAGAGCACTGAGTCTCAGTGTGCATAAAATAATTTCTTATTTGGGGATGGATAGAAATTAGAGACAGATGGCTTGATTTGAGAGTTGCTTTGTATGATCTCCTGACTGACATCACTGATTCAAACAAAGAAAAGAGCAAATGCATATTTAAATTAAAAGGTAAGAAAGGCTAAAGACAAAACAACAGTGAAACACCCTCCGTACTCTAGAGGATTAGAGAAAATGAGTTACTTTAGTCAAGTGTGGTCTTTTGTTTCAACTTAATGTACTGTAAAAGGATTAGATTGAGTCAAATTAAATTAAGTACATATTATGATCACGTTTAAGCCAACAAACACTGGAATTTTGCTGGCTTGTGGCTGTTTCATAATTTTTGGGATTAGTATTTGGCCTTTTGATAAAGATCAGTTGTACTATATTTTACTATAAAACAGTACACGTAGTCTTGAACTTACAATTGGGACTGGAACCTTGGTTGGTAAGTGATGCAGTCATTAAATGATTTCTACCTGGTTTTATGATTTTTTTTGCTGCAATTGTTAAGCAAATCACCCCATTGTTAAGAAAATCATAGTTGTTAAGTGAACAACATGATTGACTTTGCTTATCAGAAGCCCTTTGAGAAGGTTGCAAACAGCAATCACATCACCCCAGGATGCCACAATCTTATAAATTCAACATGGTTGCCAAGTGCCTGAATTTTGATCATGTGACTATAGGGATGATGCAACATATAAGTCCAAGTCATTTTTTCCAATACCTTTGTAAATCTGAATGGTTATTAAACAAATGGTCATAAGTCAAGGACAACCTCCTGTTGCAGCATTTCTGCAGTCACATGATCATGATCTGGGCACTTGACATAGACTTATAATTGCAATATCACAGCATTCCTGGAGCCATGGTGGCGCAGTGGTTACAATGCAATATTGCGTGCTAATTCTGCTGACTGCCAGCAGTTTGATTCTCATTGCCTTAAGATTGACTCAGTCTTCCATCCCTCAGAGGTTTGGTAAAATGAGGTCCCAGATTGTTGGGGACAATATGTGGACTCTGTAAACCACTTAGGGAAGGCCATAAAGCAGTGGTGGGATTCAATTTTTTTTTACTACTGGTTCTGTGGGCGTGGCTTGATGGGTGTGGCAGGGGAAACGATACTGTAAAAATCTCCAGTCAGAGGTGGTATTTGCTGGTCCTCTGAATTACTCAAAATTTCCACTACCGGTTCTCCAGAACTGGTCAGAACCTGCTGAATACCACCTCTGCTGTAAAGTGGTATATAAGTCTAAGTGTTATTTGTTATTGCTATTACTATCCCATGGTCATATAATTACATATAAAAGAACCTTTATTCCCAGCTTTTACAAGCAAAATCAGTGGAGAAACCATCAGGAGGTTGCAAATGATGACTGCATGACATCACACTTAACAATGGCATGAAAAGTGAAAATTTAATAAACTTTTTTTTTTTTTAAAAAAAGCAATGGCATGGGATTTCCTTAAGAACAGCAACCAGAAGTGCTGAAATGCTGTTGCTAAGTTGCACTGTCATATGACATTGGGCTTTACAACCATGTTGCTTAGTGACAGAAATTCTGGTCTCAATTCCCATTGTTAAAAGAGGGCTACCTGAATATGCACCTGGCACTAATATACTTCTTTTTCCCAGTATTGTTCATATGCAAATAAACAGGGTAATTAATGGAAATGTTATGCCTTTTTCTTTTAATTGCTAGTCAGTAATGACAACATTATTGAAAACCTCAAACCAACAGTGATGTTTTTTTTTAATACAAAGTTTTAAGCAATGAAATTTATATAATAAACTGTTGTATATCAAGATGTCTACACTTTATAGATGTGTAATCACACTGCCAATCATTTCTGGATTAGGAATTTCAACTTTCTTGACTTTCCCACCATGAAATTATATATGAAATCAGGTAGCTGTCATATCCAGAAGAATAGACATATCTGCACTGATGGCAACCTGCTGCTAGTCCATAATAATTCACTTGTAAACTGAATCTATAAATGTGTTAATAATAGGTCAGCATCAGCTAACAAGCAGCAGGAAAGAAAAGAAAGCTTCTGAATATTTTAGAACTGAGTGTGAGACACAGAAAATCTTGTCTGTCAGTTAGTCATCATGAATGGAGAACATCTCCTTTGACTGGAACATCAAGCTGCAACGTGACAGCTGCAGGTGGAAAATTATTCTACGGTTTAATCACTTTCTGACAGCATCAGTTACTCCTTTTCTGCATCTATTAACCTTTACTGTTTTGAAGTGGTATCTATGAAACTGTTACATAACTATAATGTCAGAATCTGAAGTGATCATAGATAGATAGATAGATAGATAGATAGATAGATAGATAGATAGATAGATAGATA